GCACATTGGTTCTATTTTGCTTTACGGCTTGATGAAACCCAATGGTGGCAACTGTAAATTGGGCGCTACTCTTCTTATTGAAGATTACTTGTCGTGATGGCTGTATACAATAAAGTTGAAAAACTTATTAACGTCTTCATACGGATCGCAAAAACGACATTCATTGCCAGACCTTAAACTAGTGGCAAAATTACATAGTAACGGCTGTCTTTTAAATGGCAAAGCTCTTACCTGTAGCATATCCACAAATAACAGTTACCTTACTTTGTAAAATGAGCAATGTCATTTTAGTTATTTGGGTTTCGCGAAATAGTCTTGTTGAATATTATTCGGCACCAATTATTGTTGGCTAAATGTTCTTCTGGTTTAGTTCAAATTTAACGCTTTCTGACAACTTCACTCATGGCAATCATTTAACAAATGTCATTTGCCAAAGTTGCCAAGCAACACACTTATATGTCAGTTTTAACTTCAAAATTTTCTCTGTTGTAATTTAACATTCGACAAAACATTTTCCGAATTACATATCTGTAATTCCAAAAGAGAAATAAAAAGTGTAAGAACTATGAGCGTTTCAGCAACAGAAAATGGCCGTACCTTGCTTGAAAAGCTATGAACTGCGAACACCAATTTGGACGTGATATTTCACTTTTCGAATTTTTGTACATTTCTCTGAAAGATCGACGTGATGAATGTCAGTATTTCGCCGACCATTTTACGTCTCCTTGGAAAATAAAGTGGTAACCATAGACAAACTTTGTTAGTTGCATAGGAAATTTGTGAAACTACGTAGTCGTCTGGGCGTTACTAACGTATCAAACAAGATTGTTTTGTTAACTTCAAAATTTTAGTTTGACCTTTCAGAGAATTTTATTCCGAAATTATGGCATGTAGAAGACGTAGACGTAGAGAGAAGGGCACAAACGTAATCTGCAAAAGACGAAAAAACTCCCGCTTTTCGAAAAATCCCTTTTTAAATTTCTTACAAGAGCTGCGTAAGAAATACCCCACGTGGCTTTCATGCAAGCTGACGCTCGAAGGAGCTCGCCGGTGGTGCAACATGAGTGAATTTCGCAGAAGAAAGTACCAGTGCAGAGCAGCACAGGCCGGAAGGGCTGCTAAGCCCTTTCGAACTAAGTGTAAACCTGGGCGAAGGAAGCTCAGATGTAAGCTGCAGAAAAGACGGCGCACGTGCAAACGTAAAGTAAAGAGGCGTACTTGTAAAAGGAAAAGAAGGAGTTGCAGACGACGTTGTTCGAGAAGGAAGAAGAGAGTGTGCAGAAGGAAAAGTAGTTGCCCCTCGAGTTGCCCTAAGGCTCAGACATCGGTCGTATCGCAAATAGCTGAAGCTAATAGCGACTCTATAATAATGATGGATTATCATCACGTCTAAAAATTTTACTTATGTGCTAATTATACCTGTATAGATGTTTTTTTTATATTATACAAAACCTTTACAGTTTTTATTTGGTATTTGAACACAGCAAAAATTGTAACATTGAACAACTTGACTCTAACATCAACAAGGATTGAAACATTTTGGTAGCGATAAACGACGGAATAATGAACAAAGGGGGAAGCATCGAGGATCCGGTAAGCGGACCTGGCAGAGACTCCTTAGGGCACTGCAACATGGGTCACTAAACCAGCTTCCAGGGGATTTGTTTTCTATGAACAGGTTTTGGAGTCCATGACAAAGGTAATACTTGCTGTTCCAGCGGGAAAGTTCTTTAGCACGTTACTTTGATGTTTCTTCTCCCTCTCCGGAGTTGTAAAAGTGTTTAGATCTACGCTGTTGACAGCGGTAAACCTTGAGCATTTGTAGAGGAGCGGCGGTTGATCTACTCTATGATGCAGCGGTAGTATATAAAAGTTGGAGCAGATTAGATTTTTACGCTGATGCACATCCTTTTGTACACCTCGGTACCTCGTTTCAAAGTGCTGTAGAAGTGTTGAGCTCTTTGTAGGCTGTTTACCTCCTTGGGAATGTGCAGACTTCAGCGCCGGTGTACCTATATTAAAAACTACTTTTGATGAGCGGTTGGTTACGTAGAGTCGGCGGTGGTTATGTGTCCATTTCGTAACCGATGTTAACGGAGGGCTGGTCGTTTCCCTGAATCTTCTTGTATGGTACTTGACATGTGCGTGTGCGGGTCTTGTTGCCGAATTTGAAATGATACCAGCACGGAAAATAGTAAACTATTACCACAACGTTAATTACATGTTTTCTTATGGTTTCGAATAGATACAGAAATGGTGTTTTCTTACTGGATGAAAATTTTTTTTATATGCGCTCTCAGTTATATCTGCGTTCGCGCCAATAATTTGTTGCAAAGTTTTGCAATATTAGTACTGTTTCATTTTTAAATAATAATAAAAACCACAAATCGTACAAAACAAAAATACGGAAAAACTATTAGGCTAGGGTTAAAAGGTAACGTTTTGAAATGATAACAAAAATAATGTATGTAACGCCATGCGCGCACTGTGGAAAGCCAAAGTGGAATCCTTGGCCGCTCGCCGCCAGTCCTATCCAACCGCCAGTTCGAATTTCAATTTATAGGTTATGATTTTTTCCCGAGTACATCGCGTGTATTTTATCGAGTTTCATCTTTCATATTTTGTTGATAATTGGAATTAAGTTTCTGTTTATTATGGATGCATCATCAGATTCTGATCAATATGAAGTTATGAATAGTAGTAGCAGCTCTAGCTCTACAGATTCAGATGAAGAATTACTTTTAGAGCTAAATCGTAGAGTCAGGCGCGAACGTACATTTCGAGAAAGACCAGATAATTTTACAAAGTGGTCTGACCAGGAATTTACGATGAGATTTCGTTTGCAAAAGGAATCTGTTCTTTTTTTATTAGAATTAATCGAGGGCCAGTTGGCAACTATAAGTAATAGGTAAGTGCAAACTTCAAATTAATCACTGTTTACAATATTTCTGTGTGTATTTCCAATAGGAATAAGGCGATTACACCTATGAACCAGCTGTTATTAACATTACGCCTGTATGCTACAGGGAATATGCTCATAGCTGTTGGAGATTTTAGTGGGGTCCACAAATCCACGGCTTGCCGGATTGTAAAAAAAGTTACAGCTGCTATTTGTACTTTATCTGAAAACTACATTCGTATGCCTAATACTGAAGAGGAAATAAGAAATCATCAATTGGCATTTTACAACATTGCCAGATTTCCTCGTACAATAGGAGCCATCGATTGCACCCATGTCCGCATACAATCCCCAGGTAATTAATAAATTATGCCAATTTATCTAATTCGTAACTTCAAATATATAAAATTTGTAGGAGGCCACAATGCAGAGTACTTTCGTAATCGAAAGGGATACTTTTCTTTAAATGTACAAGTTGTTGGGGATGCATCTCTTCGAGTGCTGGATATAGTAGTGAGATGGCCTGGATCTACACATGACCAAACCATATTCAACAACTCTAGGATTCATGCCCGCTTAGAGAATGGTGAATTCAATAACAGCATAATGTTAGGAGATTCTGGTTATGCCATACAGAAGTATTTAATAACACCATTACTGTATCCAAATAATGATGCTGAACAATTATTTAACGAGGCCCAGATCCGTACAAGAAATCCAATTGAAAGGCTATTTGGAGTGTTGAAACGTCGTTTTCCCATACTAAGCATAGGGATACGTATCAAGCTACAAACAGCACAACAAATTATTATCGCATGTGCCACTTTACATAACCTAGCAAGAGCTAGAAATGACGGGGAACCATTGGTTGATCCTGATGTTATTGTACCAGTGATTGATGATCAACCACAGAACCATGTGGAAGCAGAAAACCGTAACTTTTATAGACAACCATTTATTAACTATTTTTCTACATTATAAAACTTAATATTACATTAAATTAAAGAGTAAAGTTTTTATACAATGCTATTTGTTTCTTTTAGCTTTTTAATTTGTAAGGATAGCAACTCATTTTGTAATCTTAAATTTTCCTTTTTTAATTTATGAGTGTCTAAAATCTCTTTGTTTAGTTCTGCCTTTTCTCTAATCTCTTGAGTTAATAAATCTTTTTTTAATTTATTCAACTCAATTTTGGAATTGGTTATTTCATTTAACACCTTAGATGATGTAAGTGCTGTAATTTTTATGTAGTCATTAATACTGCTAAATTATGT